TATGCGTACTAAGTTCGTAATTATTCCACTCTCACATTAAATTGCAGTTTATAGGAAAATATCAATGAAACGCTGTTTCATTTTTTATGCAGATTCAAAATTTTCGGCATGTAATTGACTTCCGTTCAATTGACTACCAGAAAAGAAAATGTGTGAATCAGCTGAACGTGTCCCTTGAAAGCATCTCAGCTTCAGCTTTCCTGATGATGACAGGCCAATAATAAGGGGAAAGTGAGCCGCCATGACACCGAGTGGAAACCAGACCACGACCTACATTTTCTGCAAGAGATTTTCTTTTTGAGAGACCCACAGCAGAACAGAAAGGCAGCGAAAGATTTTGAAACGTGATGCTGTGTCTTTTTTCTTCAACTAGGACTCAAAGTGAATACATTTTCGGCAAATATATATCCTATTTCGTTATAATATGTTTCTTTTTTCCTGTATTAATGTTTATAATGGTGGTAGCGGTGTCTCGGAAGCAGAGGAGGAGTTGGAAGGTGAATAAAGAGTGATTTTAACTTCATTATGATATCTCCGCCCCCATTTACGTTCATAATAAAATTCTTGCATGTACCATCACTGCTTCTACAGTACTGTGAACAATACTGTCTTTGCTACTGTTGTTTTTTTCCTTTTTTCTCTATTCCTTTTTCTGTAGTAGTGTTATTTAACCTGGTGACTGTGTGCCCCTAGGGTTATAGTCTTCACACTTCTTGTAGGCCTACACACACACATTCAGTCACATTAAATGTATGAATGTACACAACAGTAACTTCAACATTTCCACATTTTTTTCAAATTACGCGGATGACAAGAGAACATATCAATGATTAAAATTAATGAAAAAAGAAAAGAGGGGATATTGGCTTACTGACAATTACAAGATTTTAAATTATATATTTCGACATTTTTAGTGCACAAAAAGAGGCTCTTGGAAAGCATTCATATCATGCGCATCATAATCATGTTTCCCCAAATATGCATTTTTTTAATCTGTCATAGGAGTACGTGAAAGGTAGTAGGAGATATCAAAGGCGTAAAAGTTTGGACAACAGTGTTATATATATTTACTAACAATTTATGTTTTTGCATTTGTTTCCTTAGATATGTATCCTAGTTAGTGAGATACTTTTCATATATGTAGTTTCGTTATTATCTGTGTGAATCTTGGATAATTTGAGTTTTTTATAGTGTAGTCTGGTCTGGTTAGTTTACTGTTTCTTAGAGCCTAGAAAGGGACGTGAAATAATTAGTGTGAAACCTGGCTTAGTTAGTTTAGTGTTTATCTGCATATGAAGTAGTTTGTTAAAAGTCTTGTAGTGTGGTATGATTAATTCATTGTTTGTTAGTAATTAACCTAATTAGTCAGATTGTTAGTGCAAAGTCTAGCTAAATGACTGTCATATATAACCAAACTTTACACCAGAAAGGATTATTTTGAAAATTTGTTATGATATACATAGATGAGATATTTGTATGAATCACATTTGAATGATAAGAACATTTGTGTAGTAAATGATGTAGCGAGATTGAGAACTTGCTTGGAACAGCTATACAGTTGTGCTTCTTTTCATAAAATACTGTTAGTGTTTAATTAAATAGTGTTTAATGTTAACTCATTGAAACGATTTCCTTCACATTGGAAATAACTTCCAGGATTCTAAGCAAACGGATATTTCCAACAACAAAAAAATACAAACAGTGACGTCATGTTCCACAACTCATGAAGGGAGTAATTTGAAAATAAGAAGGAAAAAGTTACTCTATGTTATACTCTATACTTTTTAAATTTGGACGTCCGAGGTAAACGAATCTTCTGGTTTTTAAATATTTGCCAAAAAAAGGTAAGTTTCCGTTTTAAATTAAATGTTCTCTATTCTATTTTGAAAACTGAAAATTTGCATAGATATCCGACCTGATTACTAATTGAAAAGCATGGATGTTCAATCAGGTTTGGGGGCTGATGTGTGTGACAAGCCAATATTGTGTGTGAAGACCAGGCCTAAGATACATGTAGACGTGTACGTGTATGTGTACGTTTCTGTTTGTGTGTGTGTGTGTGTGTGTGTGTGTGTGTGTG